CATATGCACACACAATTCAATCATCCACGAACCGGCGAGAATTCAATTTTATCACGAGGTAGGGTTTTCCTGCAGAAAAGTGTATTGGCAAGGGTTGGTTCTAACTGTTCTCACCAGGCTAAGGCCCCCAAGGTGCCCCCATTATAGGGTCCCCACTCTCCAGCCGTGCGACTATGCTTAGCACTAAGGTCGTAGTCAGTCTTGTTGCCAAAAGAGGAAGGTTATCACCTTGAGTGGTGGGTTCCGATCACACTGGTGGGCTCAAGGCCCTCACTACAGCGAACCGTACCTGCCACCCACTCCCTATGGTTTTCTCACTTGCCCCCGGGTATAGAGGGAACTGTTGTGTGCAAAGGTTTGTGTACAATTTGTATTTCATACAATTGCGAAAGTATAAACAGACAACAGTTATTTAAAGCCAAGTAATAAAACATGTTATAATACAAGTTAAGGGCAAAAGCGTTATTTTCTTGGTTTATTTATTTCTAAGTCGGCCCATCACTAAATGGGATCCACTCTCGAGGCTTCCCCAGTGGAGTCGCCATCTGTCGCCGCCGTCAAAAAGAGAGGCGGTCGAAGCGACGCGATGGTTTCGACCCTTTTGATTTTCGCGTTTTTTATGGGTGGTTACAACACCTTTAGGTTGTTCGATAACCGGGCTAACCTAGGGGCGAGGTTTTCGAAAGGGCGTCCTTGGGTTGTCCGATAACCAGGCTAACCCAAGGACTAGTTTTGTGGGGTTCTGTGGAGTCGCCACCGATGTTTTTACCGGAAACATCGGAAAAGGGGTTTTAAAAGGCGTTGGTTTTCAAAAACCAACTTTGGTCATTAGAACCAGAGTTGGGTAAGGGAGTTAGTTACGTGTAAAGGGAGTATTAGTCCCTTTACGACGCCCCTTTCGGGTTCCCTATGACAGGCCAGCTATTTAAAAATATTTAAACCGGTGAAAATTACGCGTTTGCCCTTTTTATTTTTACGGAATTTAAAATCGTGACTACATGGCCCTAATCTATTGCATAATTTATAATTAAAGCGGTAAAAGTAGAGAGGGTGAGTTTAAACCTCCGAAGCAAGCTTTCTCTATTAATTTCTCAATAAATTGGGTGCGTTTTGGCAACCCGTCACTCTACAGCGCCGGAAGACCTCTTGGAACGCTCAAAAACTCACTTTAAAGACACTCAAAAGCTCCGAAAATGCGTCGGAGGGATTCTAGAGAGAGAAATCCTAGAGAGAAGGAGGAGAGAAAGCCGTGGTGTGTGTAAATGAGGGGGGGAGGACCCCTATTTATAGGTTTTCGCGCCTGGCAGTGGCGAGACCGCCGTTCTCGTCTGACAGGGTCGAGACCGCCGTCTTGCCAAACGAGACCGCCGTCTCGTCATGCCAAAGTGGCGAGACCGCTGTCTCGCCAAACGAGACCGCCGTCTCGTCATTCGCAGGTGGCGAGACCGCCGTCTCGTTTGGTGAGACGGCGGTCTCGCCATTTGCGTGAGGCGAGACGGCGGTCTCGATTTCGAGACGGTGGTCTCGTCCCAAAAAGGCGAGAAAACTTATTTTTTATACAGAAAATCCTTCCTATCCTAGTATAGGGCCTAATAGTCTCTCATAGTGGCTTGTTAGGCTTCATCCATCTTCGAATAGGAGGTCTTCTACTCTTTATTTGGAGGTCGGGCAAGATTTGGGGTCTACATGAGGTCTATACATGAGGTAGTAAGAAGAGAAGCAGATAATAAGAAGTATATTCTTTATTAATTAGTAGGGCTCATGTGCCCAAAAGATGCCTGGGGTCGGGCTAGCCCCGGGGGATAATCTCTAACAATATCCGGGTTTACATCCCTTAAGAAAAGAAAAAGAGCTCCTAATGACTAGGGTTGCTCGCGACGCTTGCATCCCTCCGCTTCGGAATATCTGCTTGAGTGTGCGGAGGGGAGACTTCCCTTTTCTTCTTTCTGCTCGGCTCTTTGTAGGATCAAATCCTAGGCCAAACTTAAAAGGGTTATCTTTGAATTCTGGGGGTTCCCTCATCCCTTGGGAATTTGCCCCCAATCCCTGGCCAAGATGTAACCATGCTTCATCATCATGCTGGCTACCTTCGTATTGTTGGGAAGTCTCTCTATGCTGGCAATTTCGAGCGCTTGAAAAGACATTTCAAGGGTTTCTTCAGCCACATCCACATAAGGTTGGGTAGACGGTCCACTGATCAAGATATCATCTTCTGCTTGGACCGTGACCAGCTTGTCATCTACTATAAACTTGACTTTCTGGTGGAGCGTTGAAGGTACTGCCTTAGCGTCATGAATCCAAGGTCTGCCGAGGAGACAACTATACACCGGAGTAATGTCCATAACGTGAAAATCGATGTTGAAGATAGTGGGTCCAACTTGAATTGGCAGATTGATTTCCCCCACTACTTCTCGCTTAGATCCATCGAAGGCTCGAATGATAGTGCTGCTTGGGCGCAAGCAGGTTCCTTGAATAGTCAACTTGTCGAGTGTGAACTTGGGCATTACGTTCAAGGATGACCCGTTATCCACAAGAACTTTAGCGATGAGGTACTCTTTGCACTTGATAGAGATGTGTAAGGGTTTCTTGTGGCTCGACCCCTCTAGGGGGAGCTCTTCATCTGTGAAGGTGAGGTGATTGCTTGTCGTAATGTGACCAACGATCCTCTCAAATTTTTCTTGGGATATATTGTGAGGTACATGTGCTTCGCTGAAGACCTTCATCAGGGCATTTCGATGTGGTTCCGAACTCATCATTAAAGATAACAGAGTTATCTTCGCAGGTGTATGATTGAGCTGGTCGATAATGGAATACTCGCTTTGCCTTATAAACTGGAGTAATTCGTCGATCTCCTCCTTGGATTCTTTATTTTCTTTTTCTTCTGTCTGTTTATTTTTCCCTTTATTCTTGGGGGCATCTTCTTGCAACTCCTTGGGAGAGTAGATCCTTCCACTTCTGGTCATGCCCCCAATGCCGGCTATATTGGAGATATCCTCTTTTATTGGTGAAGATTCCCCATATCTCCATGGTACAACTTTGTTTGATTCATAGGGGAAAGGACGAGGGATAAATAGCTGCACGGGCATCCTTGCCCGCTCTTCCTTATTGCCTTTGAGAACCAACGACCGAGGCTTATTATCCTCTTGTGGTGAATCGACCGTTGGGGAGAGCTTGATTAGGAGCGGTTTTCTCTCCATCCTTCTGATTTGGAAGACGTGTCAGGTAATTCTTCCCTTTTATTATCTTATTTATTAAAAGTGAAGGAGGGGAATTTAAACATTTGAATGAATGATATGCATGCAAGTAGACAATTATTGAATAAAGAAATTTTATATATTCATAGAAAGTGTACATTACCCTACTCCACACTACGAAGCACCTTTTGACAGTAACGGAAAAGCCTAAAGAAACCCACAGGCAAGTCTTGATCTCTATGTAACTCTCTTTTGGTTTCTCGGACGTGACAAGCGAGTGCTTCAGTTTGCTTTTGGACCGCCTGGCTCATATCTTCGTTGTACTTTTGAGCCTCTTTGATCTTCGCCTCTTGATGGATGACCAAGGCTTGTAACTCGTCGAGTATTGCAAGGGCTCGGTCTTTTTCCTGTAGTACTTGATCATACTAAGCTAACCCATCTCTTTCTTTGTAGCGTAGCTCAGTGAGACTTCTGTTGAGTCTCTGGTTGGCCTCTCGCTCTTGGCGTAATTCAGACTGAGTCTTCTTGAGGTCTTGTAGCAACTCCTTGATCTTCTATGCCTATTTTTCACACTCGACCTCAAGGCGTGCTGATTTGGTGGATATTTCTTGAAGTTGGCTATCCGAGCTGGTTCTAGCAGCTTTGGATGCTCGGATAACTTGCTCGTTAGAATCAGCACACTAATCCTTGAGGCGCTCTATCTCGTGGTCCTTCTTCTTGCATTGCCCTTGCAGACCATCTATGGTGAGGATAGATTCTGTTAGAAAAAGAGGCTGAGATCAAGAGGGGGGGTGAATTGATCTTTGAAAGATTTTCGCAATTAACAGATTATCTATTTCAAAAATTAAGATTTCAGATCTGTTCTTGAATCACACAGCAAGCAATCAAAAAATAAATGCAGCAACAAAATTAAAGAAAAGAAAGGTTTAGAAAGATATCACCAAGGTTTATACTGGTTCACCCAATCCCAGGGCTACGTCCAGTCTCCAGCCAAATTCCAGTTGGGTTCCATTAGATTGAATGTTTTACAGATTACAACCTTAATCTTACACTCAATCTACCACAAGAACCACAATTCCAGTTCCTGCACCTAACCTTTCACCAAGAACCAAATCCCAGTTCTTGACAACCTCTATAACCAAATTCCAGTTGTAGAGAAACCAGTGCCCACAATTCCAGGCACCAACAATACAGAAAAGAATGTAAAGAAACAAACAGAAGAAACTAAAACGCTCAAACCAGTTTTATGCAATTTTGCAATATGTGTTTCTTCTCCAAAAGGATGCAATTTGCCTCAAGAAAGAACTTTGATGAACTTCACAAAAACTAGTGTGATTCTTTCTTGAAAGTAGCACTTTTGATTTCTTGATTGATTGCTAAAAGATGTATTTCAGATGATGTTTAAAATGATCAAGCAACTCTGTTTATATAGAAGATTTTCAAAGCTGCTGGTTTAATTAATCTGTTAAAATAATCTTTTAATCTGTTACACTAGTGGAAAAATATGATTCTATGACGACATTTTATCACGGTTGTAATCCACCCGTCATAGTATATAGGGCGGTGGCATTTTTGTAATAATATTATGAACTTTTTATGTCGGTTGTTATATAACCGACATGGTATGTGGGCAAATTCACTTTTTATGTCGGTTAAATTTTAACCGACATAGAAAGTCAATATTAAATAAAAAAAATTAAATATATAAGTATATAAATATTTATATATCAAAATATATAAATATATTTGTATTTATATATTTTGTATATAAATATAATTTATTTGTAAGTTATGTATCGGAAATTCGTAGTAGTTTAGTGGTTGGAGTATCAGTCTCCAACTCTAAGGTACTAGGTTCGAATCTTGCCAGAAACAAATCTCTTAAATAGATAATAAAATAATATATTATAAAGTATAATAAAAATATAATATGAATAAATAAATAAAAATTGTACTAGTGTAGTGGTTGGTCTAATTCTAGACTCTAATGTACTGGGTTCGAATCCTACCAGTGACAATTTTCGTAAAAAGTCCATTACTTTCTATGTCGGTTCATTACAACCGACATAAAAAGTCATACTTTCTATGACGATTCATCACAACCGACGTAAAAAGTTCATTTTAACCGACATAAAAAGCCTTTTTTGCACTAGTGTTAAAAGCCTTGTTTTAATCTGTTAAAACTTCTTTTAATCCATTAAAATGTTCTTGATTATTTTCCAGATTTGTTTTAACTGATACGACAACGTTTATATCAATTAAAACTCTTTGTAAAAATCTTCTAATTTGTTTTAATCGATTGTGTCGTGTTTCAATCGATTAAAATACTGCAAAACATTCTTGTAAACTTTTCCAAGTGATTTTAACTGATAAAAACTCGTATTAATCGATTAAAACGCGTAGTATGAATTTTCTTAAGTTAATTTAATCGATTGAAACGTAATTTAATCGATTGAAATAATTCTGATCGGTCATAACTAAATTCTGATCGATCATATCTAATTTTGATCGGTCATAATCGCATTCTGATCGGTCATACAATATACCAAATGAAATTAATCGATTAAAACAAAGTTGTATCGATTAAAATACTGCCAAAACACTTCTCTGAACATTTTAAGTGATTTTAATCGGTTATTTCGAAGCTGTATCAATTAAAATACTGGCAGAAGGTTTTCAAAACTTCTTTTAATGAAATCAATCGATTATTTCGAAGTTATATCAGTTAAAAACCTGTTATAAAAGTGTGAAGAACATTTTAGTTGATAAAGCTTATATGCTATTAGTTAAAATAGTTGATTAAGAAAGCTTTTATCAAAATACTTTGGTTTTGACCGTTTAAACACTTTTAGAGGCATTTTGCAAAAATCTTTTAAGTGAAGAAACCTCATGCAACAGAAAAGATAAAAATGATTATACCTAAGCAGAGCTGCAGACACACTAATCCCTCTACTCTTTTATCTAAGTGACTTTTGACTTCCACAAGGTTGCCTTTAACTTCATTCTTGACTTCATCAAATCAACAAGATCTTTGCCAGAGTTTTCAATAAGATCTTCATCACTTTCAGTCTCCCCCTATTTGATGAAGACAAACACCAGTTTGAACAAAAACTCTGCAAAAGAAGTCACTTGATAATATAGTTTAATGAGTAACCAAAAATGAATTATTTTCCTATTTCTCCCCCTAAATTGTTGCTCCCCTAAATTAAAAAGTAAAGCAACTCTTTCTCCCCCTTTTGACTTCATCAAAAATAGGGAACAAAAAACAATGCATGGTATGTATTATGTCTTAGATTTCGAAAATAAAAAAAATGGATACGATACTTTACTCATGTAAAGACAAATCAAAGTTGATTCAAGCTTATCTTCATTAACATGTTTGTAATGAATACAATTAACACGTGTAAAGATAAGGGAACCACACTTTAGTAGCATGTTACAAGAACAACCATTAACTAAAGCCTTTAATTTTTCTTTCCAGAATAAAAATTGATTAAAAATAGGACAAAATCGATTAAAAAGTTCTTGTTGATGGTTTTAATCGATTGAAATAAAGGTTTAATCGATTAAAATAGTGAAGGAATTCAAAAGTTTGAAAAATAAGTTCATTTAATCGATTAATTCGACATTTAATCGATTAAAATAGTAAGAAAAATGATGTATAAATTCTTTTAATCGATTTAAAATATTTTTTATTGATTAAAACAACCAGTTTTGAAAACTAAGTAATGTTTGATGAATTTAAAATGCCTAGATTAGTGCGAATTTTGTAAAACCGATCATTTAGAAAAGTGTTTTATAATAATATCGATTAACTTTTAATCAATAGATCCATCAAAATCCGAATAGAATCTAATTTAGCTAATTCAGCCGTTGTAAACCTAGTTTTAGTTGGTGGCATACAGATTTTAATCGATTTATACGCAGTTTAATCGATTGTTCTGTTGTGATTTTCCTATGTAAGTGTTTCTTTTAATCGATCTAATCGATTAAATCCATTTTGTATCAGCTAAAAATATCAGGGATCTATGTTAAATTCTACCTAGGCTATCTTACTTCAACTTAAAACCTTAATCATATTAAGCAAAAGAAAAAAAAAATTGTGCCTGGTATAAAACCAGTAAATATTACAGACCAGAATTTGAAATTAGCATCAAAAGAAATAAAACATAAAAAAAAGATAAGAAGGGACCCTTTTTATCCACAAATTTAATCATCCCAATTTCCTTGGTTCAGCTGCATATCTTCCAGCTTGGTGTAGATATCAACAATCTGGTTTCCAAGGGATGCGAATTGATTGTTTATTTGTTGGAAATGTTGATATGTCATCTGCATATGCTTTCTCTGATTTTCCTGCATTGCAGTCATTTGAGAAAGCATTGTTCTTTCAAATTGAGATAGAGGAGTCCCACAGTCAGGTTGCTCCATGTATGGGATGATCTCCATATTCTCATATGAAGCTTGACCACTGGTTGACTCAGGTACCTCTGCAGCAGCTGGAGAGGAAGGAATTTGGTCTTGTTCATCTTCATCTTCATCTTCTCCCTCATCCTCAGACATCCCAACATCAATTTTAGAGATCCATTCATCATCAACTTTTATATACCCCATTTTTCTCAGGGTAGAGTCGTCAATTTCATTTGATGCCTTGGGGGTTTCTATGCTTTCCCCAGTAAGATCAACTTCAAAATATCTAAAGAAATTATTAATTAACATGGCATAAGGAAGTTTGAAATCTGCCAACCTTTTTACTTTTAACATGTGATCTTTAATCACATAAACCCAGTTTACCCGAATATTGTTAAAAATGCAGTACATGAGGGCAAGATCTCCCTCATTAAGAATAGCATGATTACTCCCTCTTGGAGTAAGCATCCATGCCACAATAAAAGCAAGTAGTCTATGTTCAAGTGCAAGTTTTCCAGCATTTAGAATTCTTACTGAATCATTTGGGTCCTTAAGGCAAGACCGGAAGAACTGAATTTTGTTGAAATCAGGAATCTCAAAAATATTCCCCCTGGAAACTTTGACACCTCTATCCTTGAGGCCAGCAATTTGCTCCCAAACAGAAGGAGTAATTTCCATATTAACTCCCTTTACCTGAGATCTGATTGTTGAACCATTTACTATCAAATTTGAATAAAACACCCGAACCAGATCAAGTTGTATGTTCCCAGTAAACTCCATGAAGGTTTTTAGCTTTTGACTTTTTAGTTTTCTTCTCAGACTAATAAATCCCTCTTCATCAAGCCATTTGTATTTGATAAATTTTGGAATAACAATCTGTTTCTAACTGAACTCAGATATGAAGGTGTTCATTTTTCCTATATCACCATTAAACCATGCTTCCAGATGACCACCAGGTTTAGCAGCAGAGGAAGATTCCCCTTTTTGCTTCTTTCTTGACTTTGATCTCCTCAGCATCTTGTTGTATAGTTTAGAGAGGGTTTTTGAGACGTGAGTACAAGAAAAAAAAATTGAACCAGAAAGAGAAGAATGAGAACAATGAGCTACAAGTGAGCAAAGTGAAGATTCACGTATGTCAATTTTTGTGAATTGCGGTTAAATTTTGACAGAACCTGCAAAATCAGCTTTAATTGTGTATGTCCCCTTGACCGAAGAGAGAGGCACAGTTTTCTGAATAGTGGGTGCATCAGCTATTTTGTTCTTGGATGAACTTTTGACTTGGTCAACAGATGTAATAAATGTATGTAGACCCCTAATTTTGCCCGACCTCTCAATAAAAGCTAGGGAAACTTCACACGAAGATAAAGTTTGCCCAACTTCTCAATAAAAACCAAGAAGACCTCCTACAACAAAACGGAGTTCATCCAGTTACTCGATAAAAGCTAAAGAGACCTCCTACAACAAAGATAAAAGTTCGTCTGGCATCTCAATAAGGGTCAAGAAGACTTCCTATATGAAGATCAAGCTTCAACGGACACCTATCGGCATCAACCAATGTCCGAAAAAAGCAAGGAAAGCTTCCCGGGGTCCCAGAACGCAAAAACTGGACAAAACAGGTCGAGACCCCCGTCCCAGAGCTGGGATGGCCGTCCCAACTAACCTAGGACAAGTGAGACGCGTGTCCCACATGTGGGACGGCCGTCCCAAGTCCCAGGGGGGCTGGCTATGTGTTAAAAATGCAAGTGGGACGGCCGTCCCACCCCAGACGGCCGTCCTAGATGTGCCAGGCAGCAAAAACTATAAATAGGAGGCTCATTTGGCACTTTTCCACACACCAGACAACTCCAAGACTTGTCTTCTTCTCTCCCTACTTCGAATGATCTCTCTAATTGCCTTTAATCCGTCATAGGGAACCCAAAAGGGGCGTTGTGGGGTGCTAACACCTTCCCCACACGTAACTAACTCCCTTACCCAACTCTGGTTATAATGGCCAAGTTTGGTTTTTATTAAAATCAATGCCTTTTTCTCCTTTTCCAATGTTTATGGTCAAAACATTGGTGGCGACTCCAGAAGAACCCTTTTCGAAAACTTTGCTTCTATTAGAGGATAGTTCAGTGTTGAGCGCCTCGGAAGCAATGAACATATTTTTAACAAAAAACGCGAGTCTCAACCATCTTTTCGCGACCGCTCGCATTAACGTTCGAGATGTACCAGGACGTCGGAACGGACGGCGGCGACAGATGGCGACTCCACTGGGGAAGCTAGAGAGTTGATCCCATTTAGTGACGGATGAAATTCAAACTAAGTAAAGATTTGAAATTACGCCTTTACCCTCCGTATATTTTATTGTATGGCTTTAATAATTGCTGTATGATTATTTCTGCAAATTGTTTGAAATATAAATTGCACACAAAACCCTTGCACACAACAGTCCCTCTATACCCGGGGGCAAGAGTGAATACCTATAG